TTGATGCTAGTAATTTTTTCACTAATGAAATTTGTTTTTAAAAATTATATGTTTGAAAACGGTCGCGCACGTTTTCTGAAGAAAGGGTAGTTCTTGAACAATTTATAATTTTATAATAACAGCTCCCATTTTTCTCTTTGCATTTTTTCTCGAATAGAAAAAAATTGTTACAAATTTTGCCGCAGGTCTCAATTTCTTTGACCTTTCTGAATGTTTGAGAATGGTACAATTCCGAAACAATGATATGAACCACTAGATTTTAAGCGTTGAGAAAATTCAACTTGGCCGTGCCACTGATGGCATAGCGGTAACGGGCTTGGCGTGTTGAACCTGAGTTCAAATCGCGATATTAAGGGAACTTTTTTGCAGGATCATAGAGTAGTATAATATTGCGCAGCCTTTACAAATAACGAGAAAAAGTATGTGCTGTTATAGTACCTTTAGTTCAAATAAACATCTCACCGAAAGATAAGAGCTTTTTCTACCGAATACTAATCACAGATATCAGTTACTAACTGACAATTCTTTAAAATAATGGAAATTATTCATATTTCTAATCGCTTGTAGGGGAAACACCTCACCCTTTTCTTCTCCTCTGCAAAGTTGTTATTTTTTCGTATGTTTTTTTTAGTAGCCATTGTTATATTTGAAAAGAATATAAACGAAATATTAACACTAAACGTCAAAATTTTTAATCTCAGGACGATGATCAGTTATAAATATGATAGAAAACTGTGAAAATATAGTGGTTAAACTCTCACAAAGGGACAATTAAAAGGAAAGGAAGTTAGGAAGACACGGAGAATACGAGAAGAGAGGTAAATAAAAGATTTAAATAAAAAAGAGAAATGCTGAATGAAGTGATAATAAAAATGAAATGAAAGAAAAAAAGAAATGGAAAGGAACAAAATTAAAAAAAGTAAAAAAGGAAAATTAGCAAGAGGATAAGCAAAATAAAATAAAATAAAAGAATGAAAGCAGAAGTAATGGAAAGAGGGAAATTCAAACGAAGACAGGGGTGAAAGAGAAGAGCGAATGTGCATGAAAGAAGAAAGAGACGCGGGAGTGGTCGAGGCAGGCAGGATCTGTGGCAGTGAGGGGCGAGGGCGGGCAGAGGCGCGGGCGCGGGCGCGGGCGCGGGCGCGGACTCACCCGGAGGATGCGGTAGGGGCTGTCGCGCAGCATGCACACGTCGCCATCGCCCTTGTCGCGCTCCTCGTCGCGGGCCGCGAGAGACGGCGCGGGGCCGCGCACCCGGCTCAGGCGCTGGCGCAGGGAGTGGATGGTGACGATGGGCGGCAGCATGCTCTGCAGCTCGCTGCCGTCGCCTGCGCCGTCGCCGCTGCCACCGCCGCCGCCCCCGCAGGCGCCGAACGCGCAAGCGCCCACCTTGTGCTTGGCCGGCGTGCGCGAGCGCTGACGCATCATGTCGAAGATGTTCCTCTGCGCACGAAACAAAACATCTTTCTTCTCACCTTGCTACACGTATTTCTTTGCTGCAGCAATATTTTAATAACATATGTTAATTCAGTAAAACATTTTATTTCACAACTCTTTATACGAAACTAAATCAGCAACGTTTTAATCCACTAAATAATGAACGAGATTTTTAAATGTATTAAAACAGTTGAATATTTTCGCTGAACTTTCGAATTCAGTATATGAAATTCATATTTGCCATCTGTGCCTTATGTATTTTGCAACCTATAAAACGTTGTTTATTTAAAACATATAAACACAATGTGATTTGTCTGCTATTCATGATGGTCATTTTTACTTTCTCGCCTTACGAATACGTCGTAAGAAGAGAAAGTAATGTAATTATGTTTCCAAAAACGGTAAATCTTCGCTAGAAAAGCTCTTGTTGATGGGATCTAGTAACGAAAAAGTGGATAAATCCTGTTCTTAAATTTTGAAAATATTCCTCTAGACGTAGTGTCGCTAGAATCCGTTTCGTTGGTTCTTGATACCAAAAACTTGATTGGCGGCAAAACGAATTTTTGTCTGTCCGTCTGTGGTCAACGCTAGTGCCTAAACGTTTCAGCCATATTCTCCAAAATTGATTTTTCCTGATTGAGCTGAACGGACTGGACGCTTTGGGAGTTTCTAACGGATATTTGGATTGTTGAGATTGTTTTATACGAATCGGGCATTTTACTTTTTATGGCTCTGTCCGAGTTTGACCCTAGGACGTTTGTGTGGCGTAGTGGTATGAGTGCCACGTTAACTTTGGGAATCGATCACAGTGCAGAAAAAAGTTGTCCTCTCGAAAACACATTTGCTGGTTTATGTAGTAGTACAGTATTGTGAAGCATTTAAGTACAATGCGAGAAAGTAAGTGCTTTGGCAGCATCACTAGTTCAGAAGATGTCACTGCTTTAACATATTGTTTATGAGTTAAAATGAACATAAAGTAAAAAATGTCGATACAGAGCAGTGCACAGAAGAACATAAACAAATATGGCTCTTGTAGCTAGAAATATAGTAGATTGTCCATTTAAATAAATGGGAAAGTCATTTCACAGCATGAGTAATTGCATTAGATACCCAGGTATTCAATCTACGCAACGCATTGATCTCGCTCTGCCGTCTCTCCTTCGCCCAAAGCTGCCGTCTCCTCCCATTTCATTGAGAGAAAAATATGTACCCCCATAATCATTTTATTAGTTTTAAACTTATCGACAAACGGTACGTTAATTTATACTAACAAAAAATTCCATTTAAAAAATTTTGCATTGAGGTAGCACTGCCTTATGAATAATCACGTTCGCAGACAGGACGAGTCAGACTCGCCTGGCCTTGAAGCAGCGAGAGGGGGAGAAACGTCATCCATCTCCAGCTAGCTAGGGTTCAGTGCATTATCGGCTTCGGCTTCACCCCAATCGCCGCCTGCCTCTGGCCCACTGAAGTAGATGCGCGCGCAACAACCAGGCCAAGCAAAGATGTCACAGCTGGCATTGGAGCAGCAGAAGCAGTAGGCCGTCGCACAGATAGGAGTAGAGTGTACAGTAGGTGCAATATTTTTGATCATGTGACACGGTTCATTGTAATTTGTATTCTCAAAATGCATTCATGTGATCAAAAGTATGTGAATACGTTCAAAATGGTGTTATGGTGTGGTCGTAATTTTCATGGAGGTGGCTTGCACCCCTTGTTTGGTGTGGCACTATCACGGCACAGGCCTACGTTGATGTTTTAAACACCTTTTTGCTTCCCACTGTTGAAAAGCAATTCGGGGATGGCGATTGCATCTTTCAACACGACCGAGCACCTGTTCATACTGCAGGCCTGTGTCGGAATGGTTACTCGACAATAACATCCCTGTAATGGATTGGCCTGCACAGAGTCCTGACTTGAATCGTATCGAACACTTTTGGAATGTTCTAGAACGCCGACTTCGTTCCAGGCCTCACCGACTTACATCGATACCTCTCCTCAGTGCACCGTTCCGTGAAGAATGGGGTGCCATTCCCCAAGAAACCTTCCAGCAAGTGATTAAAAGTATGCCCGCGACAGTGGAAGCTGTCATCAAGGCTAAGGGTGGGCCTACACTCTATTGAATTCCAGCATTTCCGATGGAGGGCGCCACGAACTCGTAAGTCATTTTAAGCCAGGTGTCCGGATACTTTTGATTACATAGGGTACATATTTTCAAAACACATAATTTAACACCTGCTACAATTCTCCACATACACTACTGCCCAGAAAAGAGAATGGATTTTTTTTATAATGTTGCCTGAGTTTTTAGTATTGAAAACTATCGTTGGCTGTCTTGTCTTGTGTTTAGAAAAAAAAGAGAGAAAGAGAGAGAAAGAGAGAGGGAAAGAGAGAGAAAGAGAGAGACGGAGAGAGAGAGATGGAGAGAGAGAGATGGAGAGAGAGACGGAGAGAGAGAGAGACGGAGAGAGAGACGGAGAGAGAGACGGAAATAGAGAAACGGAGAGAGAGGCGGAGAGACGGAGAGAGGGGGTAAGAGAGACGGAGAGAAAGACAGACAGAGAGAGAAGCATATTTTTGCTTTGTTGCCAAATTTATGTTACTCTCTCTTTCTCTCCCTCTCCGTTAGACCTGTCATTAGGAATTTCTAAGAATGAGTCTTAACACCTCCCTGCCTCCAGAAGATGAGAACAATTAGAGGCAATATTTCTGATGAGTTTTTAAAACAATTCACTTGTTGGAAGCCATATTTTTGTTTCATTATTAGTTATTGACACAATTGCAATACTATTCTCTCTTTAAACTACAATTGAAAGACTAAAATCCAGAATGGTATAAGTGACATTTTATAAATTCTGTGAAATAGTGTTTATTTTATGCTACATTTCCGTGGCAATGTATTTTCGTGGTGTTAATGATAAAGAAAACACCATGACTTTACTACTACTACTTGACATAAATAAACAGATTTCTCAGAATTTACAAAATGTCACTAGTACCATTCTGATTTTCGTTCATTCAACTGTATGAGATAATGTAGTATGATAAATAAAATATTTAAGATATTCTCCTTTTATACTACAATTGTATCAGATAAATAGTATAGTAAATAACAAATTTAAAATATTTTCTCTTTAACCTACAATTGTATCAGATAATATAGTATAATAAATAAAGTATTTAAAATATTACTTTTATTTCAAAATAATATATAACGTAATGTTAATTGCAAGACTTGTTTTTTATTGCAGTTTCAGAATTCTGTAAGTTGAATACATTTTGCTTTGCCCCTTCTCTCTCCCCAACTTTTATTTTATATTACGCTCAAGGGTAAACGCAATAGTCGTCGATACTGGACTAGAAGTTAATATTTGCAGCTGTTCAATTTTATTCTTGATTTTATAAAAATATTTAGAAAATAATAAAAAATTAAGTATTAACATGTGAATCAAACATGCGGGAGTTGGGGATGTACAAGGTAGAAAATAAACACTCATTAATAACTTTCGTATCAACATATAAAGTGAAATAAATTATCTAAAATCCAAAAACATTTATTTTTATTACAAATCGAGGGAGACATCCTCTTCTTCGTCGTCACCCGTGCAGTCTGTGCTCTCACTGTCATCACAACTTTCTTCTGACGAACTGTTCTTCATAACATTTTGCACCTCCAATACAAAAGTGACACAAGTGCGAAGTCGACATTTTTCAGCTAAAAGCTGACAAGAAGTTACCAAGAGGCACTGCTACTATTCTGAAGTTGATTTTGAATTAGTTCAATAACTGTCCGCTAGAAGGTGAATATTTGGTACAATGTATAATGAGTATTACAGAACTATGAAATTTAAAATTGAAATTTCTGAGAAATCAGAAATTCGCACTTGTGTCACTTTTCTATTGGAGGTGCGATTTATAATTATTGGGTCCATAATGTCGTCCCTCAAAATTTCCTTTCGAAAATCTTCCTCTTGCAGAGTTTCGACGTGGCGCACGCATGAAGTCCAATCTACCTGCGTCACATGATCTATCACCTTGTGTGTCAAGGTTTTCCACGTCGGCTACTTTAAAAGTGTTTTTTTCCTTCACATGCCCTTTCACTTGCGCCCAAATATTTTCAATAGGATTATAGGCGCAATTATAAGGAGGCAAACGAACCACTCTGTGACCCATTGCTTTCGCAATTCGTCTAATTCGTACTGCTTTCGTGGGCTGGCGTGAATTCTACGAATTTAGAGTAATTCTGCTCTAGTCTGGGATGGGCATCTTGTACATTTCTCTTAAAAACCTCATGCGAGCTTCCACAATGACACTGCGTTCCATGAAGAACTTTCTACCATCTTTGCATTTAAGATATTCAAAACCTATAGATTTTAAAATGCGGTATATTGACTTCACACTTCCCTTATTTTCGATGTATTTTCGCAACTTCCGGGTTGATTTTTCTGCAGTATGGTATTCACTTCGGTCGTGAAATTCTAATACAGCCCGCCGCACTGCTGTTTTGTGAAAATCGTCCAGATTTGTTGCCGTACGTGATTTTCTGGAGTGTTTCCCCAGTGATTTCAGAAGCACGGATCCCAAAGCAGCAATAGATGATTTGGCTGCTTTCAAAAAGCGTCCAACAGTTTTTAATGCAATGTCACAAGCTGCTGCTGTCCGCTGTTGAACTTTGGCAACGTCGAGGATAGGGTGGCCTGCGTCCGCTTCCTTCTTGAAGAATAAATAAATTGGGTACACAACGTTTCGCGCTTGACTTCTCACCACTTCATGCTTACGTATTTCTTCACACATATTAAACTATAATCTTTGTTTGAAAAAACAGCATGACGACACAAGAAACGAGTCGATATGCGTGAGGAAGCACGGAAACTCCGTTTTCTTCCGCAGTGAATACAAGACTGAAGTCTATTCGCTCCTGACCGTCACGTGGCTTTTCCTTCCTACTGCGCATCTTCGGCCATCGGACTTCCAATCTGGCGGCCAGTATAGCAGAGTTGGTTTGGGTTGCACCCATATGACCGCCGCGCGAATTCTGGCTTCACTGAAAACCTCAATGGACGACTCTGTGAAAGTACATTTTGGTTAAAAACTTCAATAACAACATCGTTCGTGTTGTTTCTTGACCTCGGGGTTTTATATTCGTTGAATTTCAAGGAAAAGTAATTAAATATCAACATAAAATTACATAGAATTTTAATTTTAACCCTACTTTTGACATATAATGGAACATTTGATATGCACCAATCAACGACCTAGAATATACTACATATAAATGCTATCCCTATAGTTTCAGCTCTCTTGATTGACGCCCGCCAAATTAGGGGCCGCCATGTTTTTTGCAGTAAAAAATGAGAGGTACTTGACGGTGACGTGTAGAATTGTACTGAATCAGATTATATTTCTACATACTTGTCTTTTCGTTTATCTGTACTTCAATTAAATTAGTCGCTAGAATAATAATATTCACTATGTTTTCAGCATGCTCGGCATTTAACTACAAATAGAAGTCCATCCACAAATATATCATTTTTCAAGTTTACTTCCTAATTTGTGATCTGTTTGTTTAGTTTGTTCTCAGTGCAATAAAATTCATTTTCAGGCGTTATTCTAACTACAATAACATTTCAACAGCTTCCAATCTTATAACAATACTCTATGCACGAAGAAACGTGTTTTGAAAGTTTATCAATTCGGTCTTCTAATATATTATGGTTTCGTTTATAAATTATAGGTTCTCTCGTGAAACACTAAGTAAGAGAATTTATATTACACACGTCCCGCGCCCACCCGGTCTTAACCAGCGCCAAACGGAATACTAGAATTCTCTGCTTTTTCTGAAGTTTTTTTTACTTTTCTAGTAGACATAGGAAGGAAAGTCGGAAATTTGATCAAAAGCACAACAGAAATATTTTTACCTCTTAGGTACCCTATTTTCTACTTACATTACTAATATTTTTAGATATTTTCATGAAAAGTAAAGAAATACTTGTTCTTCCTCGTAGTCCTACTATTCGCTTTCAATGGACCATTTTCATTAGATTTAAATAATTCCTTTCCTTTAAAACTATTCAAAACGTTTACTTCACATATTGTTTAAGTTATATACATAAATTAATTATAATACATAAAAAATTAAAATTTTGTCATATTCATCAGAACGAGGTTGCATTAGAAATGTAGTATGGAATGTAATCTGCGAAGGGTTCCTGCTAGGGTTCCAGCTATGTGTTCCGGGATCGTTAGAGTCGCCGACCAAAACTTCGTCATAGAGTATTTAATACGAATCTGCGCTCTTGTATAATACATGTACAGTGGTAAAACATCCTGAATTTAATGTGATACATAATACGTAAACATTAGTTTTCAGAATATTATGCGTTAAATCACTCTATCATCTTCATTTTTCATTAATTTTGGTATAGAGGCAAGGTTCAACATGCAGTTTAGCGATATTACTACGTACAAAATCATCAAAAAAGATAAAATAAACATAATTAATAAAAAAACGAAACATAATAAAGCGTTAGATGAATTTTTGGGACAAGAACATTTTTACGTTTATTTAATAATTCTTTAACATACATACACCTGTACTGACTATTAAAGAAAATGCACCGCTTGCTTCAAATTGACTCAACCTCCATTCAGTCAGTCCAAACATTTTCATGGTGCTAAATGCATTAAAAACGGGGACCAATACACACATCTGAAATAATTTTAGATTTCGAGCCGATTTCTTACTGCAGTCTGTACTAAGTCTGTTCTAATAGTGATTAATGTAATAACACTTTTTTAATGTAACAGCATTTTAATGTAACAGCATTTTTTCCCTTCATAAAATAATTATTTATTTTATTTCATTACTATTACATATTTACAGGCTATCTCTTTACATTTTTTATTACTTGAGTCATTAATCTAAGTAGAGAACACATCACTCATACGGTGAACATTGGGCAACACCATTATAATTTTATAGTCTAAGTTGGGGTTCACAATAATATAATTGGAGCAAGATGCTCTTTTAGATGACACAGACGTGGTTCGCTTATAGTAAAATTTTATTATAAACAATTAATTCTTTATCTCTACCGATCTTCAGTTCCTTGCTGCAGATATTGAATCAGTTTATCCAGTTTCGTCAATCGTTTACTGTTCGCATAATATACATTTTGTTAAAATTATAATAAAGTGAAACATCCTGAACAAAACCCCAAAAATTACCATAAGGAAATATTTTCCTCGATCCCCCCTCCCCAATTTACATATAAAAGGGAATAAACGTCCACATTAAATCCCGTAACCTGGCAACGCTGGAAAAAAGTTACGAAGTGTAAACGGTTTCGTGCTGTTCATCAACAATAGCGATAGATGTCAGTGGCTGTTGGTTTTAAGCAATTCACAAAAAACAGTCACTAAAAATTTTATTTATATCATGATAATTTTTTTTTAAACATCGATGTTTCTGGAAAAATATATTGACGTGAAGAAAACATCGAACATAAAGCATCGATATTTCGATATCGATATTTTTGGTCGAGAATATCGAGGTTTTAAAAACCAATGTTCTTTGCCATCCCTAGATGAGGGCGTTTGTGTGTGATTTCATTGTTGCTACAAAGTTTCATTTGAACAAGTGTGGTTGCAGGTGAGAATAAAATTATTTTTCTTTTGAAAATTATTGTTTGTCTTTAAATATTCAGAATTTTGTAGTGTTATTTAGACAAACTGTTTTTTTGAATGGATTATTTATTTGAAGTCATTCATGTTCATAACTCACGTTTATCAATAACCTGTTTCGGTAGTACGTTTCGAGACCCTGTGTCGCCTCTTCTTCAGATACATCTACAATGATTTATTACGTAGTTATTAATATATGAATAGTGGTAACAATATAAAATAAAAATTGGAGATAACTTTCAATTTCGTAACTTTAAATTATTTAGCAGTTGACAATCTCATTAATCTCTAGCATAATTACCATCTATAATGTACCAATTGATTATATAAAATGGCTGCTTAGCTATACCGTAAGAATTGTAATAGTACCTATATTTTTATTGAAATTGCTCTCTTTTAAATTGAAAAAAAAATGAATATAATTATTAACTCGATTGAGAATCATACTGCATACAGATCATTGTTGAGAATTATAGACATATTCTCGAACTCGGCACTAGTGAACGCCACATGTTATTGGATATGAGTAGAAAGTTGTTAGGTGTTCTAGTCAAACATGCTAGAAAACGTAAAATAAAAATTTTATTCAAAAAACTAGTCTGTCTAAAAAACAGAGGTACTGAAAAAATCTGAGAAAATATGAGTTGTTTGTCTGATATTTATTACGTTCCACAAGTTTGAAAGGCAACAAGGTGGTTCGTTTATTTGAATTGGAAAGATATAAACTGTCTACAATACAAATTTGTATTGATGTCTCATTGCTTGTTGAACGGAATTTTTGATACCTGCTACAGTATATTATGTTGAATGAATATGATTATCAATTACTTTTGAATTTTGCTCAGGTGCTGCAAAAAAGTATTTTGATTGATATTCACCAGATATCTCTAAAATGGAGGCCCTTACTGGAAAAACAAGGACAAAGAAGAGGGTGAAGGTCAAGAATTTGTTGTCGAAAAGGTCTTAGATAGAAGAATGAGAAATGGTCGGATTGAATATTTACTAAAATGGGAAGGATGGTCGAAACAATATAATACTTGGGAGCCGGAGGAAAATCTGCATTGCCCAAAATTAATTTCAGAATTTATTCGAAATAAAAAACAACCAAATATTAAAAGAAAATGTCAACGTAAACATGGTGCTGCTGAAGAGAAGAAACCAACTTGTAAAAGGAAACATGTTGAGGAATATAATGATCTTACAAAATTTGATAAAGGTCTTGAGCCAGAGAAAATTATCGAGGCCAATTATAATGATAACGGTGAACTTATGTTTGAGATGAAGTGGAAACAATATGATCAGACAGACTTCATACCTGCACGTCAGGCAAACGTGCTTTGCCCAGAAATCATTATTAGATTTTATGAGGACAGGATTGAGTGGGACACTGCAAGTAATAATGAGAAAGGAGGGAAATGAGTAATTTTAATCTCTGTGAATTTTGTTTATTATGTAATTGTTTTTATTTTTTTATTTGTGTATGAATTCATAAAATAATTTTGTACTAAATGATTGTAATTTTAAGGTAGTGTAATTTAGTCTTCCTGTTGTGGAGAAAGAAGATGGTTGGGAGACACTTGTTATGCATCAAGGTGTTAAGTTGTGTGCATTTTTGTTTTTAAAGTTAATTCTTTCAGTTATTAGTTCTGTTAAAATAACATTCTGGAAATGATCTTTCTTACCTTTATAGACTGAGATTCTAGTAGATTAAATTGTTGCTAATACAGAGAAACCATTGTTTTAAAATGTTTTAAGACATTGACTTTTTCTTTTGTATATGAACTTCAAAAAATTGAAAATCCTCTCCCGATTTATGCATCTTTATTCTAATGTTAGAAGTAATTTGGACCATCTAGTTCATTTACTGTTATGTCAGTGATTACTATGCACAAAAAACAGCAAAGGAATTTGAAAACTATATTTTTTTCAAATAAATATTTAAAATATTAATTTTTATTGGGTTGTATTGTGGCACTTGTTGAGGTTGCCTATTTTGCTCCATTCTTTCTAAATGTTTCTTTCAGTCTTGT